ACTGTGAGTCCCCATTTATCCTGAATATAAATGACTAAAATATTTGTACAGCAATTGAAGCTGAGTGAGCTCTTGTTTGTCTCCTTTGCCCAGAAGGGAAAAGGGATTGTTAGCCAAGGCTACCTGTACCCAATTTCTCCTGTGAGATCTGACCAGGCAGCTCTTCTTCAGCTTCAGGTGAGACCCACCAACCTTCAATTCCTGATCCCACATCTGATAGACCCATGAACTCAGCAAGACACTTGTTCTGCACCCCTTCCTCTGTAAAGTAGGGACATAGATCATAGAAAGCAAAGATACCTCCCAACAATGTCACCAACCTCACCAAAAGCCTGGAAATGTGTTAGGTCACTCAGAGAGGAGACTCAGAGTTTCTACACAGTTTACCTAGCGATGGAGATTGTCCTATACCATGCAAGTAGCCTTGGATAATGAAAAGTGCCTAAAGAAGATTTCAGAAAGACCAGAGATGCCTCCCTGTTATTTTGAAGATGCAGAAAGGAAAAATGGACCAAGAAAATCAGAAGACCACTGATGGATATATGTGAATATGTATATAAATGTTTGTGTGTATATAGGTATACATGTTTATGTGTATGTGAGTGTATATATATATATATATATGTGTGTGTGTGTGTGTGTTAATATATGAGTTAATATATGTTAGAAAGGAGGTGGAAGCAGATATTCCCCAGAGCCTCGGAGAGGACATGCCTTGCTAGCACTCAGGATATGAACATTGGATTTCTGCACTCTGGTACTGAAATCTGGTCTTTTGTTTCATTGTAGGACAATTTTTGGCAGTTAATTATATTAACAATTCATGCCCAAATCCTGTGGTGCCGTCCTGTAGGACTGTGAGAATTTCTAGAACCAAGTATGGAAGCTTCTTGTTAAACATTTCTCTCCATCCTCTGCCAAGAGGATGCCTTCTGCTTCTGTCCTGACCCAGGCTTCCTGTTCTCTTCAGCCACTGGGAGGAGATAGAACAGGAGGAAGGATGGAATGATCACTGTCTGACTTCCTGTTCTCCTCTACCTCAGAGGAGGCGCTCAACAGCCAGGTATTTAATACGCTCTGAATGTTTTACTCTATTAGACCATCCAATGAAAGGACCTCCCAGGACAGGAACAGGATGCACTCTGTGAACATGGCAGGTGGGATGTAAGGACATAATGCTGCCAGTGCACTGGCCATGTGACAAAGAGAGTCCTAGCCTTTCACAGTAGGAGTGGACATTGTTGCTACTGATTAGCACAGAAAGAACTGCACCTCCCCTAGGCTTGATGAACATGAACAGTCTGATGGAGAGACAAATGTGAGCGCCTCTGATGGGAGGAGCTTGTTCAATCCTAGAGTGTAGCAATGGGGAGGCCTCTGCTTCTCATTTCACTTTCGTTCAACTGCAGAACCGTAAAACATCTGGATGCATTATAAGGTAATTAGATAGTAATTTGGATCTTCTCTGGAATCCCTTAGCAAGGCCAAAAGAATGAAAAGGTGGATTCCCTCCTTCCCTGCTGAATGTCAAAGGATAAGTACTTGAGTTATACTCAGTAAGCTGACTGATCCTGAGAGCTCATACATCCCTGGGTAACATCATGAATGTCACATTGCACACACAGACACACACACATGTGTTCACACACACACACACACACACAAGTGCATACCCATACATACATAAACACATATACACATATTCATATAAACACATATACACATATTCATATACACACATGCACTCTCATATGGACATGCTTATAAACACAGAAATATGTGCATACTCACATTTACACATACCATATACATATTGATATACAAATATATCACATAAATACATGTACATGCATATTCACATATATACACATGTATACTCATATATTCACATACACACAAACACATACTATACACACATACTCATCTAAACATACACACATGCATACACAAACACTCCCAAACACACAAATACATACACGTATAATTATATGCACATATGCTTATATATTAATATATATATATAAACACTCACATACACATAAACATGTATATCCACACACACACAAACATTCATATACATATACACATACATACACATGAAGATTCATGTACATTTACACACATTCACATATACTCACACACATGCACATTCTTTATTATATATTACCTATTCTCTTTGTCTCCCACATACTCAAACATGTTCATATACATAAGCATTTCCATACTTACACACCAAACTCATACTCTCTTCTCTCCTCTCACACACGCATACTCTCATGTCCACATGGACTCACATCCACACATTCTCTCTCTCTCTCTCTCTCTCTCTCTCTCTCTCTCCACACACACACACACACACACACACACACACACAGAGAGAGAGAGAGAGAGAGAGCCTGATGTCAGTTAATGTGGCTGGCATTGTACAAAGTTCACTTTTCATTTTATTTGCCTCCTGGAAACCAGTGGGATGGACAGATCAACCAGAGTGCTAAACTGTTCTGTTTAGAATAGAAAGAAACATCTATCAACACACTCCAATCCAGACCGGATCCCAACTGAAGAAAATATAAAACAAATGCCACTGAGAGCCACCTCCCTGAAGCCTGTTACACCAACAAGGCCACATCACCCCCAGCAGCCAGAGAAAGTGCCACAAGGCTGATGTGGGCTGGAGACACCAGTTCCTCCCTCTTTCCTTAATTAATTTTCCAGAAACACCTTCTTCTCTAGATGCTTGCCAGGGCTCATGGAGTTAGAAGCTCTGGTCTCAGAGTACAAGTCTACCTGGACACTAGAAATTGAAAATGGAGGCCATTTGCAATTTGCATGTGCTTTAGAATTGTGTAGAAAAATGCCTACTATCTCATCTTCTCGTAAAGGTAAAAATGTCCTTGTGGTGTGGTCACACATTTCAAAATTGCCTCTCTCTCTCTCTCTCTCTCTCTCTCTCTCTCTCTCTCTCTCATCTATCTATCTATCTATCTATCTATCTATCTATCTATCATCTATCTACCATCTATCTATCTATCATCTATCTATCTATCTATCTATCTATCTATCTATCTATCTATCTATCTATCAATCATCTATCTATCTATCTGCCTACCTCAAGGCTGTGCTGTCCCCAGATGTGCCCAGGTTGTGATGTCAATTTACGCTACTCAGACATTCCTGGGTGTGTCCTTGAGACTTGACACACGACTCTGCATTTGTCCCTAAAAAATACGATCCCTGTTGGTGGGATAAAATGGAGCACTGACCTACTTGGCTTGGGTGACTGAGGCCATGGCCCCCTCCCCAGATGACCCTGTAGAGGTTCTGGAGACACCTCCCTGTCTCTTCATCTGGCATGATTTGGTCCAAACAACAGAAGTAGAAGAGAACCATGCACTCAACTCTTAATCACCTCATTTCTTCCTCATTCCTGTCGGTCCTTGGGGCAAAATCAAAAGAGCACACACAAGTTTCTGGAAGTCATATCTTTTAAAAGGTGCAAAGAACATCGTCACTATCCATGGAGCAAATAAGGTCATTGCCAGGGAAAACCATGCCAACTGCTTCTCTGAGGACACGAAATCCTCCTGCACTTTCTGACCTGTGCACCTTCTCTTGTCTGAGAGCCAGAAGCAATTGATCTGCAGGGCTTAGAAAGCCTCTCTGGTGATGAAAATGCCCCTCTAATTAAGATGTCACTTCATCAAAAGGGAAAACCACAGTCAAAAGTCCAGTTTCATCGTCTCTGAACACAGGAACATTTTAACATCACCCCCCCGCCAGTGAAATATACACCTATGACGTCTTTATTTTCTCATTATCAGCTGGGAAAACTCTCAGGAGAATATTCTGCTTAAGTGAGATAGAAATGCTACATTGTTCTTTCTCATTCATTTAGAACTACGTTCGGCTTTCTGAGAGCACCTATTTCTCTGTAGTACTGTGAAAAGCTAAGAGGGGTTTATTTGCAGTCTTCTAACTGGCTCTGACTTAACAAGCTGATGTCCCCTTGTGAAAAAAATAAATCACATCAAGCCCTTAAAATACATTCTAAAATTAAACAACAATTTCCTTTAAAATGTCAAGATTCCATGCCCACCACTCTGCCTTTACAGAGTGTATAAACCACTCTCAGCATGGAAGGTGAGTCTAGCCTGGTGTGAGCCTGTAGTCACATCCACTTGGACAACTGAGGCAGAGGAATTGAAAATGCAAAGCCTTTGAGGGCTCCAGTGTTCAAGGACAGCCCAGGCAATTTAATGAGACCCTGCTTTCAAATAACAAGTAAAAAGAAGCCAGGGGTACAGTTCAGCAATCAGAACTCTTGTTCGGCGTGTGTGACACATATTCAGTCCCCAGCACACCTCTTGAAAGATGCTTTGTTAACCCGTGTGCTTGGGGAGTAGGGCTTTCCCATGCATGCACCACTCACAAAAATACATCTGCTTCCCTGACAAGGAGCCTCTCACAGGACTGGGTGCTCTTCTCCCACTCTTGGTGAGATAGGACTCAGAAGCTCGTTGGTCAGAAGTAGCCCGCCAACTCCTCACCTAACAGTCCCCTCTATGGGACAGAAAGCTCCTTGCCCCACCCCCATCTGTGGGTTTCCATTAATATATAGCCATGTCCTCCGTGGTCCAGGGGCTAGAATGATCATGATCCACGGCGTTAAAGGAAACACACTCTCATTTGCCCACATCTCCTCTCCAGTGCCCATCAGCAGGTGAACGAAATGAAAGCCAAAGGACAGCCAGTGGCCATCTTCACTGACCCTGCATGGATGACCTCATGGGATACAAGGTGAAGCCCAAGCCCAGCACTTGAAAGGGTCAAGTTTTCAGTGGGAAGCGCCAGGAAAACTTAATGTGTGAGTCTGCGGTCCTCAACATGACTCCAGTATGACCCCCCTCCTCCAGTAGAACCATGAACAGCAGCAGTGCCTGCTCCTGCCCCCAGAGAGAGCATAGCTCTTCCACAGGGCCACCCCATCCCCTGTTAATTACTTGCTGAGGCCTCCAACTTGCGTTTGTGGGGTGGGTCCTCGATGATCCTCTTGAGGTCCCCCCGGTTCTTCAGGTCCATGGGCTTCTCCCAGACTGACAGCTGCATGGTCGGGTTGAAGAAGAAAACCCGGTCATCCCCTGTCCAGACCACACACCTGCGAAAGTTGAAAACTCGCCTCAGTCACTTTCAGAGACACCTGGTGAGGAGCGGCGCCCACACTCCTCTTTCAGAATGCCCTTTGGGACTGAACTCTAGAGGTCATGAAGACATTCCTGTAGGCATCAAAATGATGGCAGAGCCCTTCCCTGGGAACACTCTGTGCTCCTTCTCACACCCTCATTTGGTTAACAGGCCTTATTTCCATTTCGTCACCAGCAAGGATTCCAGGGTCAGAAAGGTCAAGATACTTTCCAAGACCACAGAAAGCCATACCCTCCCCAGTGCAGTACACTGCCTGACTCAGCTCAGTGATATTTTATCTCAGGCCTGGGCACCTGTGTCCCCAGCTCCAGGTGACTATTTCACTGCCTTTCCCATTCCATCCTGTATATTCATCAAAGAGACGATAAATGGACCGTTTTGGCCTAGCAACTGAGCCCTTCATGGGACTTCATAGCAACTTTCATGGGAGCTCCATACTTTCATACATGGATTCCTAAAATAAAGGAAGAAATGGTATATTGTTTGGTGTATTGTTTTCTCACTTTGAGAGAATGAGACATAGACACAGAAAAAGAGAGCCCTTCTCCAAGGCTGACCACTGGCTCTGGTCTATGCCTCCTGTTCTTAGGAAGCTAGAGAGAGCAAGCTTGACTAAGGCCTGTTTCCTATCCCTTAAAACTTACCTTGGGCAAGGCACCCCCTCCCTGGCCTCAGCTTCCCATAGTATCCTCTTGTTCTTCCCCATGATTCTCTGTTCCACAGAGAGGGCAGGGCAGGCTATGTATACAAAAACCCTGTCCAAGAGAGGACTCCTGGCCACCTGGAGAGTACAGTGAGACACTTCTGGGCCTTCAATACCTTGTTCACACATCACCCTAGAAGGCTAGATGGGAGTGTTTGTATAGTAGCAGCTGCTCCAGGTGCAGGCCAGTTAGCTTTGTTCCGTGAGCTGCACTGAGGGCCCAGGGCTGGGTCCCATGTGCTAGCAACTGGATGAAGTAGGACCCTAATGACCTGAGGTGGCCCACCAGATATCTGAACCAGACCAGGTTCCACAGTGGGGCAGACAGACTGACAGTCTTCAAATTATCCACATTCAGATCCCAGAACCTACAATTAGGTAGCCTCACGTGACAAAAGGACTTAGATAAAGATCCTGAGATGGGGAAATGTCCCAAGTCACAGAATGGCCCCAAAGACCTTCATAGATTCCTTGTGAGGAAGGAGGAGACAAGAGACTGTGGATGGAATTAGAGAACACACATAAGCACATGTGCATGTGCTCACATGTGCATACATGTGCATTCACACACATGCACTCTCTCTCTCTCTCTCTCTCACACACACACACACACACACACACACACACACACATACACACATTCTCAGACACATTCTCACATGTGAAGAGTAACGGGGAGGTACCATGTTACTGGCCTTGAAGGTGAAGAAAAAGCCACAAGCCTAGAATCACATGACCTCCTAAAGTTGAAATAGACAAGGACGTAGTTAGGTCTGAGAGCTGCCCCTTCAGGCATGCTAACTGTTGATGTTTCCATGATGTTCTAGTCTAGACTCTGCTTCTCTGAGGCATCTCTAGCCAGGACCCAGGACAGAGCAGTCTGGAGACTGGCTCTGTGGTAACCCTTGTGTGGCTGTCCAGAAATGCCTTTATCCATAGTTCATTTCTCTCCAGTAATAAACGCATCAAAGGGGCCACTTTCTCCAGCACTAGCTGGTGACTGAACTCCACAACCTTTAGAAGTTAGTCTTTGTAGACCAACTGATGGGGATTTGCCCTAGGAGACCAACAGGTTGGTGTCAGCACCCATTAAGTAGCACCCAAAGTCATCAGCTATGTGTCCAGAAGCTTTAGCTACCATGGCTTGGTCGTGATACTGGGAAGAACCCTTGTCCTCCTGTCCTCCACCTTTGGGCTTGCCCTTGCCCTTTCAGAGAAAATGAGAAGGCCTCACCTGACCATCATTGTAATTAGGAAAGGCAGTGGAGGTTCTTTTATTCTGAGTTTCCACCTTTCTAGGGGGAATGGAAGCATGGAGAAGGAGCACTGTGTCCTATTCCCAAGGCCTTGCCTGCATACTGCCTTGGCCTGTGGCAGGCTCAATGAGCTAGGTTCCCCGACTTCCTCACAAGGGCTTAGAGAGAGGCTATATGCTGTGCAGTACAGAAACTGGGGCATTTAGTGCAAAGTGAAAGATAATTACACATACTGTAGGTCATACACAGTGTAGTTCCTTAGTGGGCTGCGCGGACAGGGTGGCCAGCAGAGATACAAACTCCTAATGGGAGCTATAATCCTTCCTCCTAGTTAGGGCTTCCGCTACGGACTGAGCAACTGGCCACACACCAAGCTGCTTCTTAATCCCTACTAGGTACCACAGGGCTGTGCTCTTTGGGGATTGGAGGACAGTAGACCAGGTTACTATTGAGATCCACAAGGAAGAGTGGTGGGAGGCAAGATCCAACCTAGACCCTTCCCCAGCTGTAACCAGGCTTCAGGCGGCTTGTTGCGTCTGCAGAAGCAGGCTGAATTGAAACTCCCAGAGGCTGTCAAGCCATTCACAAGTCTTACTTGGATTATCTTTTCTTCTTGAAGCCTGACTGGACTTGGCCTGAGTGTGAAATTCTTGAAACATCCTGAGTTCTCTGCATTCTTTTTTGTCTCCAGCAGAACAGAGTCTGTTCCTTTAGGTCTGCCTCTGCAGACAGACAGAGGGGCACCATCCTCTCAGCAGGTCATTGCACCCCAGGGTCCCATAGGCACCTAGGATCTGGCATCTGACTTTAGTCTTTCACTGTACCTAGAGCCGAACAACGGACTCTAAAGACAGGGGACACTGGACTGGAAAGCAGCCTTGGAGATCCGCCTCTAGTGTGAGCTTGGCTTCTCCGTCTTTGCGACACCTTGATCGACCCATGGACCTACCGCTGGCTCCGACCATGGTCCCACTCTTCAAACTATTCCCTTCTAGAAGAGAACTTGTCCCTCCAGCCTCATGTCTAACTTCTAGTTCTTACTTAAATAACATGATGCCAGGACTCTGATTGAGGTCACTGTTGTGGCCCCTTGCTACAGGTTTATTTCCTTGGGTGGGGATGCACAGGAGTCTGGCTGCTCTGCTTTGGCTTTCTGAAACCCTTCATTGTCTGAAGATGGTTATACGGAGACAGTGTAAGGATAGAACTAGGCCTCGAGATGAGGGCAACAGCTGTGTAGCTTGGTCTGTTTGAGGGGTCCCTGAGAGTGGGACCAGGATCTATCTTTGGTGTATGGGTTTTTGGAGTCCATTCCCTACAGTGGGATGCCTTGCTCATCCTTGATGCAGTGGGGAGGGCTTTGGTCCTGCCTCAGTTTAATGTACCAGGCCTTGTTGACTCCCCATGGGAAACCTTAACCTTTCAGAGGAGTGGAAGGGGGATGGGTTGGGGGAGAGGTGTGTGGGGAGTGGTAGGAAAGGAGGGCGGGGAACTGTGATTTGTATGTAAAGTAAATTTTAAAAAGGGAGACAGTACATGGTGGTCCAGGACACAGTTAGGCTCCACAGATACCCCTGTCCTCTGAACAAATGCTGGTCTCTTCTCCTTTCCTGGAGGAGCTTCAGGTAACATGCAGCTGTGTCTTGGGAGTCCCCCCACCCCTCAAGATGAACCCCATGCTGGGGTAGGGCTAAGCTTCCAGGAGGTGGCCGCTGAGGTGGCAACAGTGGAGGTAGACCCTAGGTTCCCAATACCTTCTGCCAGGTTTGCAAGTCCGAGGCCCAGGCTCCCCCAGCAAGGTCTGCCACTGAAGTAAGGATGAGAAATTCTCAGTGAGAAGAGCCCAGCCAATTACCATCTGCTGATCCGGGGAGGCACTGGCATGCTTAATTAATACCACAAACGGAAAGGTATTTGAATGAGATTCACTGGGGAACAGGACTTGGGAACGGGGCAGAGGACCCAGGAAGGAGAGGAAACATAGTTGCAGGTCAACCCTTAGGGACAGAAATAAAGGCGGGGAGGGGGGCACACACACAGCAGCCTCTGCTAATTCCAGTCCCCCACAGGGCTCGAGCAATCTCTCCTAATGTGGAGCAGATGGTTTGCTACAGGTGGTCTGTGGAAACCCCTAGCTGTCCAGAAGCCTGAGGTGATAAATTGAGTTCTGGTAAGACTGTGGTCAGAGAAGGGGCTTGGGCATGAGAGGACTAAAGGAATAAGAAGCTGAAGTCAGGTGAGCGAAACAGTCCTCTGCCTCGGTTGAGACGAGCGGACCTCCTGCCCCAGAGTGTTAGTGTTTAATCATAACAGGCTGTCAGCTGTGGACGCTGGGCTGCCACCTAGAGATTTCCCATCACCTGGAAACTTGACTCAAAGCAGATCAATCTATGTGGGAAAGGTGGGGACTTAGACTTGGAGAAGTAGCTTCCATGCTGGGGTTAAACAGGTACACCGAGGCAGGTGGATCTATGTAGGTGGTCCAGGAAGTTATGTGGTAGAGGGTTAGGAGTCCCTACCCTACTGAAGGCATCCTAGACCTGAGGCTAAACAGGTCCTAGGGCTGCAGGCCACAGGGTCTCCAGCAGAGGGAGGGAAGGCAGGGCTGTGCAGGTTAGAGGGACCTCTGGAAGGGGTCACCTGAATCTCACCACAGGCCAGAGCAATGCAAGGGAGCTGAATTCATTGACTTTGGCAGTTGGATTCCTTTCCCTGAAGTCAACGATGCAAGGACCCTTGAGGACATGTATCTCAAAGTTTTCTGCTGGGAGGACCAGGCCAGCATCTCCGGGTTCTCAGGAGTCTCCTCTCTACCTCCCAAGTACTCTCATCCACTAAAGAAACAGGCTTCACACTTCAAGACTTACATCGATTTAGCCATATTATCCCAGGCCTCATTTTTCACAAGGATGAAATACTGTTGCACCTTCTGAGTTCTGTGGGAGGCATTGGTTTCAGCATGTGACGCTCAAGTACAAAGCCACACCAGCGCGT